AAAACAAGCATGAACATCACTAGGATACCTCATTGTTTCAAAAATATTGAAGTGAATAATCTCACCATCAAACTCCATTGTCAAAGTATTGTCATGTACATCTATCTTTGTATGCGCAGTCCTCATAAATGGTCTTCCCAAGAGAAATGGTGGCGATAGAGATGTTGATTCATCTTGCATGCCAAGAACATAGAAATCTATTGGAAAAATCAATTGATTTACCTACACCAAAACATCCTCTAACACACCTTCTGAAAATACATTAGATCTATCAGCATGTTGAATAATAACACCGGTTTTATTAAGTGATCCCAAATTTAAATAAGCATAAATAGAATATGGCATGACATTAATAGATGCTCCTAAATCTAGCATTGCTTTTTCAAACCTAGTGTTACCAATAATGCAAGGGATGGTAAAACTTCTTGGATCCTTACATTTTGGTGGAAGTTTCTTTTACAAGACCACCAAGACATTTTCTCCTACGCTTACCACTTCATTACCTTTCAATCTATACTTGTTAGTGCACAATTTCTTGAGGAACTTTGCATAATGTGGCACTTGATAAATGGCATCCAAAAGTGGTATGTTCACTTGAACCTTACGAAAAGCCTCCAATGTTTCCTTCTCATGTTCATCCCTTTTGGACTTTGCAAACCTGCCAGGAAATGGAGGGGAGGGAACGTAATTAGGAATAGGACTTTTAGAATCTACCTTAGATCCTGAGGTTGGAGTCTTATCTTCATCTTTCTCACATGATAAGTTCTTCTGTTGCACTAACTCCTAAACTTGATCAGTCATTTTCCTTTGTACTTCTTCCAAAAAATTTTCACTTCTTAGTGTCACGGCACTAGAATTTTCTCTCAGGTTGATTGCTTGAGAAGGAAGTTTTTCCGATCCTTGAGCCTCCAATTTACCCACCGTTGTTGGCCAATTGACTCACTTGTGTCTCCAAATTCTTAATTGAGGTTTTTGTCTCTTGTTGAAATTGAATTGTACTAGAAGCTAAGGACTTCAACATATATTTAAGAGACATCTTTGAACTTTGAGACAAAGTTTGTTGACGAGGTTGAGAGTGTAGTGGTTGCCTTTGTTGATTGAACCCCGGGGAATGATTAAACTGTGATTGTGGAGCTATAAAATAATTTTCTCCGTAGCTGAGATTAGGATGATCTCTCAATCCAGGATTATAAGTGTTAGCATATGGATCATATTTATGTCCATGTTGCATTGGAAATCTCCCAATGGCATTCGCTTGCTCTGGGGCTCCTTATTGTAGTGTCGGGCATGCATAGGTAGGATGTCCCACAATAGAACAAGTCCGACACGCTTTTGCTTGTTGCATTGTCCTAAGTGACATTTGTTGTACAAGAGATGTAAGACCGGCTAATTGTCGTTCAATTTGAGAGGTTGCTCCTACCTCACTTGCTTGTTTAACCGGTGCCGCTTCTCTACTAGAATTAAAATTAGAAAAGACTT